AGGAAAGGAGGCCTTAGTAAGACCATGCCTGTCCCCTGTGCTGGGGAGGCAATCCAGCCAGGCCTAAGTGGTCACAGAAAGAGAAGGAGAAAGGCCTTGGTAGTCTAGGGGGTCCTGAGACAGCCTGCTTGCTGTAGGCATTTCTCAGCCTCCTTTGGGGAAGAACAAGCGGCCATTCCCAGAAGAGGGATCAACGGGCCACAGACGTTCTCCCCCAGCCCAGAATCACCTCTCCCCTCCCCCACCTGCCATGCTACCTCCAACTCCAAGTGGCCCCCCCCATGCACCACGACCCTCAGCGTCAATAAGCCACACCCCTGTGTGAGTGCCCTCCCACACTGACTCTGGGCGTGGTCATGTTTTTCCTTTTCCGTCCTTTTACTTAACATGTGTGTTAAAAGCGTGTGGTTGGGTCTTGTTTTTTTACGCAATCTGGCAATTTCTGCCTTGAATTTCTGTCCTACCACTTTTCACCTACTGTAAGAAACTCTCGTAGCCCAGCCTCAGGCTGCCATTAAGGGACTCACCTTTTCCTTGTGGTTGGATGGTGGGGAAAGCCATCGTTTGGGAGAGTCTAGGCTCATCTTTAGGTCCACCTCCTGCAGGGCTCACAACGCAAGCACCACAGGAATGTGTATGCTCTCTGCATTCTCTCTGCTGACCAGCCCCTTCTCCAGTGCTACTTCCCCAGCAAAATTCCAGGGGAAGGGAGAAAGTTGTTGGGCAGGGAGATGGCTAGTTGCATGTGGAACTCTTTCAGACCCTAACAGCTTCCCCGCACCCAGGACGCTTCTTCTCAGTCTGCCCCCAGAGAACTCCAGGGCTCTCAACTCACCTGTAGGGGGTATGTCCCTCTGCAATTCAGCCCATCGCAGCTTCCTTACATCTACCAGTCTTTGAAAACCCCATGAAACGTATGCTTTTTATTCTATATAGTTAATTCTTTTATCAACATGGGAGGAAATTGTTTATATCTTTCTACATCGTAATCGGAAGTAGACAACCCTATCTTTCCAAGGGTTGTTTCCGTTATACAACCAAGCTTAATTCCTGGGCTCATAGTGTAGAAAAGACAATCACAACTAGCACTGAAGGTGTCCAGACAGCAGGGACGGTCAAGTACACAGGCACCAGTCTCACTGGAATTGTCTCTCATGTCTGCAAGCAGCTGCTGGCCACTACAAGATTCAAAAATTGAATTGGAAAACATTTGTACTGAGTCCAAGATCTCTAGTTTGCTGGCAATTGCCCACACCTCCTCTTATTACTTATCCACTTACTTCATATATTTAAGTTTTCTTCTGGCCCTTATTGACATTTCAGTTTGATACTCAGTGAACACTGAGAAATTCCGTGCATGTCCCCCAGCAATCACGTCTACTCTGCTTTCCATGCAGATATTTTGCATCTCATGGCAAAGCTCCCATAAGCTCATTCATTTCTTTGCCTCTCATTTTCTACAAATATAATCATTTTCTATTAAAGTCAGATGGGAGAGTGCTTGGAACAGCACAGTGTCTCACAAATCTGGGATCTATCTTGGATCTCTTCCTAACAGTCACAAACATTTTCTAGCTCAGGGGCACTTCTCTCACCCTTAGCATCACAAGAGAGACCTAGAGGCCACATCTGCCTGCAACGCCGGCCTCCATGGAAGACTCACATGTCTTCTGCTCTCCACCAGCAGGAGAGGCGGCACTGAGGTCTCTGGGGAGTGTGTGGCCTTGAGCATCTTTGTGCAGAGCCAGTCTCAGGGGATGTAGCCTCGGGACTGCACAGAGGAAATAATCCGAGCTATTCAGGAGGGTGTTGAGGACACAGAGGGGAGAACAACTGTGCCTGCAGAAGTCAATCTCCCAGTCCCAACTCCACCTCACCCCATCAAAACCCAAACGGCTCATCGCAAAACACAACCAGCCCTTACACTAGTGAGAAAAACGGGTCTCTCTGCACACGAGACCATTAAGCAGAAACCAAAGTAGGCTGGCCATCTCCTCTTTGCTTGCGCCAGGGAAGGGAAGGGAAGTCTGCAGAGGAAGAAAGTACAAAACAGCACAATTCTTTGCTTTCTTTTTTTAAAACTTTTACAATTTTGAAACTATTGTAGATTCACAGAGTTGTAAGAAATAATACAGAGAGCCCGTATGTCCTTTACCCAGGTTCCCATGGTACCAGCTTGTGTAACTACAGCACAACATCCCCAGCAGGAGAGGGGTTCTGAGGTCTCTGGTGCGTCTGGCCTCAACCACAAAATTGCCATTATTACGATCCATCCACCTTATTTATACTTCACTTCTTTTACGTTCACTCAGTTGTTTGTGCGTGTGTGTGGTACTATGCAATTTTATCACATGTGTGGATTTGTGTGACCACCAGCAGAGCCAACATCCACAACAGTCCCATCACAAGGATTCCTCACGTTGTCTCTTTAATAGCCCCTTCACTTCCTACCCTCACTTCCTACTCTCACTTCCTGCCCTCAGCCCTAATCTCTGCCCACTACTATTTTCTCCATCTCTATAATTTCAATAATGCTACATAAATGGGATCATACAATATATAACCTTTGCGATTGACTTTTTTCTCTCATAATTCTGTGAGTTATTACAGAATAATTTTCTTTTATTACTGAGAAGTGTTCTATGCTTCACTTTTCTTTAAAGGCATCTTATAGTCTCTTCTGATTTCATGGATTGATAGAAGAATGTGCTTAATGTCACCTCTTCGTTTTCAAAATTGTTAGGTATAAACATGATCGAATGAAAAGGAAAAGAAGTGTACGTGAAGCACTCTCAGTTTGCATTTTTCTTCCTAATTTGCTGATAATTTGCATTTATGAATGCAGCTTTCAGGGAAACCACTTCCTGTGTTGAACAGAGTTTGTTAATAATAACAATAAAGGCTAGAAACTCAAAATGTAACCGCAACAAAAATGTTACTGTCCTGGACCTCTGGTTACAAACAAGATGGCGTAGATGAACTTTTCCCTATTCTTCCTGCTAAGAACAGTGATAACACCTGGATATTATATATGAAACATGGGAAGACTCAAGGGTGGAGAGAAAAAAGCAGATTGGGTAAGGACCCCAGGACCTGAGGAACAACATGGCAGTAAGTTTTTCAGGTTTCTTCTTGGCTTCTTATATCTCAGACTGGGCTGAAGAAGCCAGCAAACTAGAGGCTTCAATGGGTGCAGACAAAAAAGCCCCCAAGGGCTTCCCTGGTGGCGCAGTGGCTGAGAGTCCGCCTGCCGATGCAGGGGACACAGGTTCATGCCCTGGTACCGGAAGATCCCACATGCCGCGGAGCGGCTGGGCCCGTGAGCCATGGCCGCTGAGCCTGCGCGTCCGGAGCCTGTGCTCCGCAACGGAAGAGGCCACAACAGTGAAAGGCCAGCGTACCGCAAAAAAAAAAAAAAAAAATCCCCCAAGAAAAGCCTGCTGGTTTTGGCCAAAGGATCAGGAAAACAGCAACCTAGCAAAACAGAAAACTTTTGGACAGTAACCACCATACTCTAGACAAACACCATGAAAAAAAAGGGGACCTGCACTTGTTACTGAAGCTGAGTGAAGAACCTAAACTTCCACCCTCTTCTGGTTGGAACAAGATGCTCTGCCCTTCCCTCCACAGCCAGGATGGTGGCAGTCAGGGCTGAGTGACAGCCCAGAATTTTCATCCATGCCTGGCAACAATGGGGCATACCCCCACCACGTGCAGTGCCAGTGGAAGCCCCACAGAGATCCTGGACTCTCAGATGAGCAACCACTAAATAACTGACACAAAGAAATACACTCAAAAACACTCAAAAAAAAAAAAAGCCAAAATGAAATTATAAAATATATTCAAGCAACTCACAGGAAGGCAGGAAAAAGGAAACAGAGAGACAAGGAGAGAACTAAAAGGAAACAAAAAATGGCAGACTTAGCCCTAACATATAAATACTGACATTAAATGTAAATAGTCTAAATACACCTCCTAGGGACTTCCCTGGCGGTCCAGTGGTTAAGGCTCTGTGCTTCCACTGCAGGGGGCACGGGTTCGATCCTCGGTCAGGGAACTAAGATCCTGCATGCCACACAGTGTGGCCAATAAATGAATAAATAAATACACCTATTAAAAGGCAGAGATTGGCAGAGTGCATTGGAAAACTTGACCCAACCATATACCATCTACGTGAAATTCACTTCAAATATAACAATAGTGGCTTCCCTGGTGGCGCAGTGGTTGAGAGTCTGCCTGACGATGAAGGGAACATGGGTTCGTGCCCCGGTCCGGGAAGATCCCACATGCCGCGGGGCGGCTGGGCCCGTGAGCCATGGCCGCTGAGCCTGCGCGTCCGGAGCCTGTTGCTCCGCAACGGGAGAGGCCACAACAGTGAGAGGCCCGCGTATCGCAAAAAAAAAAAAAAAAAAAAAAAGAGAACTTACAAATGTAACAATAGAGGTAGGTTGAACATAAAAGAATGGAAAAAGATATGCTATGTAAACATCAGTCAAAAGAAAACAGAGTGGCTACATTCATATCAAATAAAGTAAACTTCAGAGCAAAGAAAATTTCTCAAAAGATGTAATAGGAAATGTTATCTAAATGTTCCCAAAATACGCAGAACAATTCCAAGCTCTTTCTCAAAGCCAAATCCATGACACCTCTACTTGGGAACTCTGAGTATTTCCTCTAGCTGCCCAGCTGAGAAGATAGTAACTAAGCTACTCCTCTCCCCACAATGGAAGAAGGTGAGCACCCAGTGTACAAAAGGGGCTCTTTGAGCAAAAGGCTCAGAGCAGATTTGTCTCATCAAGAACTCCAGCTAGACCCCAGCTAAGTGAAGAAGCGAGACAAGAGATGCACAGGCCAAAAAGGATTGCTCCACTTGGCTTCCACCCACACTCTGGGGGTCATACATTAACAGCTGTTAGTCCCAGATGCACCAGGAGAGTGGGGACGGGAGAGAGGAGGGGTGATTCCAGATTCTTGAGAAGAAACAGAGGTTTCCCCCAAACCTTTCACAATCCAGGTCAACGCTGCAAGCGCTTCCGTAAGCTCTGGTCATCTGAGGGCAGTGCTCAGGGAGTGCCCGGCACAGCGAGGAGACTGCCAGCTGCGGGGTTTGGGATCATCGTCTGTGGAGTTCTCCTCCTTGACTTCAGTACCATCCGGTGGATCCAACATATCTCCATTCACAATTTAAAACAGTCTCCAAATCTTGTCAAAGCATCCGGGTTACACCATCCACCCACTGCAAGAGATGAATTTACAGTATTGTACTGGGTCCCCGGGCGCATTCCAGAGCGAGATGTGGTTACTCAGCTCTAAGGCTGAGGAACAGCAATTACCCTCCTAGTCTAAACTGCGGCTTCTATACTTGTTCTACATCTTTGTTCAAAGTCATTAAGTCATTAGTCCCTACTGGGAGAATGGTACATGTACATGCATGGTTGCTGTGTAGTTCACAAAGGTATGTTCATGGTTATTATATTACTGTACCCTCAGAATCACAGGCATACCTAACTCGTCCAGAGTGACTCAGATTGAATCTAGGACAGCTGCCTCTCAGTGTGGGGGCAGCACCAGACCCACACTGGGGAAAACAGCAAGTCCCACGGGATATGTTTCCATTCATCCTCTGCTGTACCTATCTGAGTTCATGGTTTTTCCTCTGCTGCTGTCGGTGTAACCCTAGCAAAGGCCTCCTCTAATTTCAGTAATCGAATATGACCTGGTCAGCCGAGAGCATGGGGGGGATGCCCTCATAATCCCTAATAGTGCGTCTCAGCAAAGTTGGTTGCCTTCTCAACGTGCAGCTACAGCAGCGACCTCTATCAAACATGAATGTTGGCATCCATTCCACAAAAAAACTGTAAAGTCTCTACTGTGTTCTTCAAAAGGCCATGCAAGAATCATCCTCCTGACCCCCTCCTGGACGCACAGTGGCAAACCCGCAGTGGAAAGAACAGCCAACATCCTACCACCAACACCAACACCCACAGAGAAAGCCAGGTGGGTTCACAGCTCACACCCTATCAAGGAAGAGGGAGTGGAGGAAACCCACAGACATCTTCCCAGCATCAGCAGCCAGAGACAGAGCCCAGCTGCACTTCGCTGCTAGCAGTCTCATAAAGACGAGAATACAGAGGCTGGTACCACAAGCATCACCGCCATTACCACCACACGGGAAAAGAAACGAGCTTTGCAGAGCTTCTCATCACAGGAGGGGTGGAAACAGAGGTGAACACTTAACTGGAAGATCAAGATAGCCTCCTCCCCCTCCCCCCTCAAGTTCAGAGAGCTGACACCACCAGGAAGGGAGGCAAGGAGGACACACCTCTCCTCCCCTTGCCTCCAGAATGATCCCAGGAAGCTCCACGGCCATCAGCACCCTACTTAACACCCAAGTCATAGGCAAGTTGAAAGAGGGAATGTTTTAAAGGAAAAGCATAGGGACTTCCCTGGTGGCTCAGTGGTTAAGAGTCCGCCTGCCAGTGCAGGGGACACAGGTTCGAGCCCTGGTCCAGGAAGATCCCACATGCCGTGGAGCAACTGAGCCACAACTACTGAGCCTGCGCTCTAGAGCCCGTGCTCCGCAACAAGAGAAGGCACCGGAATAAGAAGCCCACGCACCGCAACGAAGAGCAGCCCCCGCTTGCCGCAACCAGAGAAAAGCCCGCGCGCAGCAATGAAGACCCAGCGTAGCCAAAAATAAATTAATAATAAACGAAAAGCGTGACCCCTTCGATTTAGTCCTGCATAGACATGGCCTGAGGAAATGAAAGAAGAGAGAGAATACTCTCTGTCAAGCCCCCTATCCCCCCACCCACCCTGGGATCCCCTGCTAGCGGTTCTCAGAGCTAAATCCTGAAGAGCAGAGCCCCTGGCCAGGCTCAGAAGCTGATGCGTCCTTGTGTGCCCTCCACATGGCATTCAAATTTTTTTAATTTGTTGCCATTGCTTAAAATTTGGAAGATTTCACATTAAAAAAATCTAATTTCTGGCTTCTTTTGAAACACCGTAAGACCCAGACTCCCGCGAGTTAAGAGTCCCCTGCCTAAGCCCACATGTGGAACTGGGGTGCGTGACAACCACTCCCCATGACTGATGCCCTCTGGCACCCTCTAGGCCTCCAGCTCTGGGCTGCCTTCACCGTGGTGCTGCTGACTGGTCCCAGAAGACATCTGTGGTGGAGTCGACGCTAGTGACAATGCCAAACTTGCCTCCCCCCACCCCATGTATGCTGGAGATTTCTAGAACATAAAAATTTCCAGAATACAGAGACTCCATAAAGAAGCTCCTGTTCCCTTTCCCTTCACCACACTCCCCGCTCCCTGCAAAAAAAAAAAAGAAGAAGAAAAAAAAAATTGCCCTCCAAGAGTCACATCTCACTAGGAGGAAACTTATCTGGTGTGAAATCTGAAGAATGGAGGAAGCAGGAATCTAGCCACCAAGCTGAAGGGCAGCCCTGGCTTCAAGGATAACCCCTCAATGAGCTGGAATTAGGGGTGGAGACCACAGACCCAACCAGAGTCAGGAATAGTGTCTCGGAGGGAGAAGATGCCGCCCCCGTCTCCCTCAGCTCTGGAACCCACAGGGCACTTCTCATGCGGCACCAATCAGAGGGAACCACAGCAGAACCTGCGGTCACTCCACCCCGAAGCTTGGCACCCAGGTTCCCAGTGGGAAGAATGCTCTTCAAGGGATCTGGCCTCTGCCATGTAGTGCTTATGTATGGTCTTGGGCTAGACCCTGGTGCTTTCAGGGCCACTGTTTTCTCATTTGTCAATAAAGAGCTTAAAATGAGTAAACTTCAAACGGCTTTTAGCAATGAAATATTTTTTTCAAACTGATTTCTCTACCAATCCCCAGTAAAAAAAAAAAACAAAAAACAGACATGCAGTAGTGGTTGCCTAGAGCTGGAGGTGAGAATGGGGAGTGACTGCAAGGAGGGAGGGATCTTTTTGGGGGATGGACATGTTCCAAAATTAGATTGTGGTGATGATTGTTGAACTCTGTGTAAATACACTAAAATTCATTGAATTGTATGTTTAAAATGAGTGAATATTATGTAACATACATCAATAAAGCAGTTTAAAACAACCCAATCAAAAAATGGGCTGAAGACCTAAATAGGTCTTTTCTCCAAAGAAGATATACAGATGGCCAATAGGCACACGAAAAGGTGTTCAACATTGCTAATTATTAGAGAAATGCAAATCAAAACTACAATGAGGTATCACCTCACACCAGTCAGAATGGCCATCATTAAAAGGTCTACAAATAGGAATTCCCTGGTGGTCCAGTGGTTAGGACTCAGTGCTTCCACTGCAGAGGGCACTGATCAGGTTTGATCCCTGATCAGGGAACTAAGATCCCAGGTGCCATGCGGCACAGCCCAAAAAACAAAAACAAACAAACAAAGTCTACAAATAACAAATGCTGGAGAGGATGTGGAGAAAAGGGAACCCTCCTGCACTGATGGTGGGAATGTAAACTGATGCAGCCACTATGGAAAACAGTATGGAGTTTCCTCAAAAAACTGAAAATAGAGTTACCATATGATTCAGCAATCCCACTATCCTACTCCTGGGCGTATATCCGAATAACACTGTAATTCAAAAAGATACATGCACCCCTATGTTCACAGCAGCACTATTCACAATAGCTAAGACATGGAAGCAACCTAAATGTCCATCAACAGTTGAATGGATGTGGTACACATATACAATGGAATATTACTCAGCCACAAAAAAGAATGAAATAATGCCGTCTACAGCAACATGGATGGACCTAGAGATTATCATACTAAGCAAAGTATGTCAGAAAGAGACAAATACCATATGATATCACTTATATGTGGAATCTAAAATATGACACAAATGAACTTATCTACGAAACAGAAACAGACTCACAGACGTAGAGAACAGACTTGTGGTTGCCAAGGGGGAAGGGGGGTAGGGAACAGATGGATTGGGAGGTTGAGATTAGCAGATGCAAACTACTATATATAGGATGGATAAACAACAAGATCCTACTGTATAGCATAGGGAACTATATTCAATATCCTATGATATACCATAATGGAAAAGAATATGAAAAAGAATATGTATGTATATATATATATGTATGTATAACGGAATCACTTTGCTGTACAGAAGTTAACACAACATTGTAAATCAACTATATTTCAATAAAGTTTAAAAAAAAACTGATAGAAACAAAGAACAGACGGATGGTTACCAGAGGCAGGGACTGGGGGGGGGGGGCGGGTGAAATGGTTGCAGGTGGTCGAAAGGTGTAAACTTCCAATTATAAAAGAAATAAGTCCCGAGGATGTGACGTACAGCATGGTAACTATGTAATTAACACTGCTGTATGGTGTACTTGAGAGGTGCTAAGAAAATAAATCCTAAAAGTTCTTATTACAGGGAAAAAATTTTTCTGTAACTATATGAGGTAATAAATGTTAACTAAACTTACTGTGGTGACCATTTTGCAATATACACATATGTCAAGTAGTTATACTGTGCACCTTAAACTTATACAGTGTTGTACCTCAATTACATTTCAATAAAACCGGAAGAAAAAAATGGTTAAAAAAAAGAGGATGTTAAAAGATACGCTATAGACTGGGAGAAAATATTTGCAAACCATGTATCTTACAAAGGACTTGTATCTGGGATATACATAAAAAGCTCTCAAAACTCAACAGCAAAGAAGTAGTTCAATTAGAAAAAAACACGAACAGAGATTTCACCAAAGAGGATATACAGATGGCAAATAAACACATGGAATCAATATCATTATGGAATATCATTAGGGAAGTGCCAATTAAAACCACAACGAGATATGGTTAAAATAAAAAGTGATAACCCAAATGCTGACAGTGATGTGGGGAAAGTGGATCACTGATACATTCCTGGTGGGGATGTAAAATGACAGGGCCACTCTAGAAGAGTATGGCAGATTCTTACAAAACTAAATATGCACTTGACCATAGAACCATGGATTCCTACTAAGCAATAAAAAGGGATAAACTATTGATTTATGCAACAAATTAAACAGTTCTCAAGGGAATTATGCAAATTAAAAATAAAAGCCAGATCAGAAGATTATACACCATCTGTTTCCGTTTATGTATTTTTGAAATAACAAAATTATATAGATGAAGAAGAGAATAGTGGTTGCCAGGGGTTGTGGATGGAGATACTATAAAAAAGTAGCATGAAGGATCCTTATAACAGAACTGTTCTGTACCTTGGTGGTGGTGTACATGAGTGTACACATGTGATAAAATTGCATAGAACTAAATACACACATAAGTGATTGCATATAAAACTGGGGAAATCTGAATAAGGTCAATGGGTTGTACCAATGCCAATTTCCTATTGTGATACTGTGCTACAGATATTCAACTTTGTACCACTGAAGGAAATTTGGGGAAAGGTATATAGGATGTGTCATTACTTACAACTGCATTTATAAATCTACAATTATCTCAAAATGAAAAAGTTAATTTTTTAAATCTCAATATAATCATAGTTAAACACAAATCAGAAGGGAGTAAAAATAAACTACACTGGGAAGGAGATGCAAGAGGAAGGAGATATGGGGATATATGTATATGTATAGCTGATTCACTTTGTTATAAAGCAGAAACTAACACAGCATTGTAAAGCAATTATACTCCAATAAAGATGTTTAATAAATAAATAATTAAATATCAAATAAACTACATTAATAACTTTCCTATGAATATTAATCAACTTTTAATTTTGTATTTTCTCCATTTTTTGATATGTGGATGAATCACTTTCATTTGGAACCATTAATTGGTTAGATGAAACACAAGATGAGGTTCAGAGGTAATACTGGGGTAAAAAGAAGTGATCCCAGTGTTCAGGCTGGGACACTAACTCCTTCCTCCTTGAGGCCCACAGTCTTTTCCTTGAGAGCCTTTTATAAACCAAAGAGCAGGTTCTGGTGGAATGGTGTGATGTCATCAGTGACTCACAGTGAGGGCCAGAATCTCGGAAGCCATTTGATCCCGAACACTTGGCTACAGTCAGTGCTCTTCTCACGCCGTTGCGAGGCTGCGTTCTGGGTGAGGGTGAGGGTGAGGGCCTAGATCTTGCGGGAGCCTCCAGGTGCTTACTTGGGGTGGGCGTCACTCTTTTCTGTACTAAGGTGAGTCTTGGATCCTGAACTATGTTCCTCCAAGCTGTCGCAGGGGATGTGGAAGGGATCACCTGTGAACCTCCAGATGAGTGACTGGGATGCAGTAGGAATACAAATAGGTCTCGAGTTTGGGGAGAAAAGAGAACAGGAGGGGATGTGGGCAAAAGGAGAACAAAATGAGTATGGGGGAAGGAGGAGAGACAGTAAAGCGACTCTACAGAGAACTCGACCTTGAGAGCCCCGGGAGCATGTGGACACTTTGTCACCCAGGAGGAACACTGTCCTCAGAGGCGGCAGGTGGCACTGGCCTTCTTGAGGTGGAACTGCCTCAGTCAGCTTCCAGGGCCATTTCGGACAGGCCTGGGCTACTCTGGTCAGATTTTTGCCAGGTTGGATTGCTGTAACTTTCTAGTGGTTCACAGGGATATTTAGGCAGAGCCGATGACATAAGCGTGTAAGGTGGCCCAGCTCAACCCTAATGGAAATGTGACTGAGGCTCAACTGTGGCTGCCACCAGCCTTCTTCCCCTGAGCACCGCTCAGACACGAGTTCTAATCCCAAGTCCCAAGAGCTCTAGCCACGGTCAAGGAGCAAATCCTAGACAAATTAGGTCAGCATTTCCTCATCTGTAAACAGGCAAGTTATACACCTTACCTCACACCTCCTTGTAAGGATTGAATGACGTAATCCCAATGCACTAATCAATATCTGAAGTTTACTAAGCAATTACTGTTAGCTAATGTCATTGCCATTTTAATTATTATTAGGTCTCACAAGAAGCAGGTTAAGCGGAAAGAAATGGCCTGGTCAGAATCAAGTTGGTTTCTTTCCATTTTTTTGTACCCAGAAAAGACAGACTATGCCTCTGAGCTCCACATCGGCTGCCTCAGAGATGGCTGCAAGCCAACAGGACCCAGCAGAAAAGGCAGAGGAAAAGCAGCGCATGGAAGGGAAGCCAGGTGTGTGTGGTCATTCACACTTATCCCCGCTCTCTGAATGAATGAAGGTGATAGATCATCATGGCTCCAGCATCACTTCCTCTTCCCTGGACTCTTCATGGGTGTGGGTCTGCAGGGCAGGGGAAAGGGGGTCCAGGGTGAGACAGGAGGTCACTATCTTGTTCACCTTTGTAGTTATTAAAGACATCGATGACCAGAGAGTTTCACATTTGTCTCCACAGAGGTGCCCCCCCCACAGAAAGATCCATGGAAAGAGGCACAAGAGAGCAGTTTTCCCCTGGCAAAAAAAGGTAAGTATTAATTCAGTTCCTACCCTCCTTTATAGACAAAGTGCAAAGGGGGTGATGGTCATTCTTATCACTTCAGATGCCACATGCAACATACTCAAGGTGAGTGAGAAGGGAAGAGCACAGTGTTTCCCAGGTGGGTCCCTCCCCCGATCACACAGGGTCCTTCCTCTCTCCTGGCAGCTGCTCAGGGTGGGAGCCCTCTGGCCTCCAGTTCTGCCCCCCCAGAGGCTGTCTCTGAGCAGAGAACCAGGAGGATGCGAGGCCAGAAGTGGAAGAGACTGATGTATGTCAAGGGAGGTGTGGTGTCCTCAGCTTCCTCGGCCCTGAACAGAACATCAGTTACTGCTGAGTAACCACTTGTTGTCTTGTCCTCAGGAGGCAGGGTTCAACCTTCAGGGTGAGCTGCAAGGGAAGACTCAGGACCTCCCAGGTGGGTCAGGTCTGTGCTCACACAGAGCCTTGTTCCTGCAGCCACCCAGGAGAGCAGCCCCCTGGCCTCCAACCCCACCCTCTCGGAAGTGGTCTCCGAGCTGACGTCCTGGAAGAAGAGCAGTCAGAGGAGGAGCGTGTGGACTGTCAATCATGTTGAGGGGACGAAACTCAGGATGAGCAAGAGAAGATCCAGTTATCGTCCAGAAGACCAAGAGGCCTTCTACCGGCTTCTGGGTCTGTGCTCTGAGCCAGTGGAGTGTCAGGTCCCCTTTACACCGAGGATCCCAGAGGCTCCGGGATCATAGCCAAAGCTCCCCCTGGGGCTCAGAGCTGTGAGGTGTCCAGGTGGCACAGAAGCAGATCACTCTGTTTCCACAGTTCTGCTGCGGTGCTGATGGGTTTTCATCTGAGACAAGTTCTTGGAAGGAGAAGGGAAAAAAGGACTCACGGTTGACTGTTCAATTATCAAGACATTTTAGGACAAATCAAGGGAGGAATCCCCTGCCCATATTTATTCCCTCCAGTTAAGATTTTAGAGATCAGTGATGAAAGGACAAACTAGATCTCGCTGCCATTATGCTCAGAGTGGGAGGAGACCAAAAAACATTACAGAAGTAAGTTGCTCTCAGCCAGTGACAAACACAGAGAAGGAAAAGGCAATGACACCTAGAGATGGGCTGTGAGCAAGAGTCGGAGAGCTTTGTGACAGATACTCAGGGAAGGTCTGCAGAGAAGGTGATGCCAGGACCAGAGGCAGGACCGAGTGTGGCAGGTTGGGGGACGACACGGAGCTGACACTGTCCAATGCAGCACCCACTAGCCACATGCAGTTATTCAAATTTAACTCTACGTGAGTTAAAATAAACTTCTGAAATTCAGTTCCTGGTTCTCACCAGCCACATTTCATAAGCTCAGTAGCCACACATGGCTAATGGCTACCGTACTGGACAGCAAGCTACAGAATATTTTCATCATCACAGAAAGCAATGCCCTTCCGGGAGCCAGGCCGCCTGGACAAGGCTCAGGGAGGGCGAAATGATCCATGACCCCTCCATCCTCCCGTCTGGGTAAATGCCATTGTCCGGGGCAAGGTGTGAAAGACAAGGAGGACCTGGCGTTCTCAGGCCATCGCTGGAAAATGGCACCTCCAAGGACAACTCTACTCCCAGATGAGCCTGCTGGGGCCAGGGGAGGCCAGGTCATTATCAGCAGGAAGTGAAGGGGGTCCAGGAGAAGGACGGTAGAATGCCCAGTGCCCCCCACCCCCGCCCAGGAGGGTATGAACTCTCCACTGCTCACATAGGATGCTCAGTTATCAGGTGGGGCAGGAAAGTGTTGCCCAGTCACAGTATGACGAAGTGACAGGGATGTAGTGCCCAGAGGCCCAAGGCCACACCCAAGCTTTGGCTCAAGGAAAGTTATGTTAAACTTTGAGAACCAGGTCATATCTCTTTATGAAACACACATACCCACCCATGTGTTGAAGATTAAATAACAATAGCAAAATTCCTGCCCCACAGTTGAGACTCGCTCTCCCTGGGTCCATGGAAGGAAGAGCTTTGTCACTGCTAAGGCTCTGAGCCTTCCTGGGGAAAGAGAGCTGCCTCTACTTCCTGAAACAGAGGAACTGGGAGAAGTTTCCAGTTCTCCTCCTCCCTGTGAAATGTCCCACAGCCCCAGGCTCGCTGCTCCCGGAAGGGCTGCTCCGAGGCCCTCATCACGTCTCCCTTCCTTTACAGAGGACCCTGTTATCCAGAGCTTCCTGGAAGCTGATATTTTCCTGAAAGTGTCCGACAAGGTACCCACAGCACTAAAAGTATGAGGTACCAAGGGGTCTGCAGTGTCACCACCCCCTGGGGGTGGGGACGGAGGACAAGGTGTCTGCCTGAGCAGAGGCCCTGGAGAGACCCGCCCTTGGCGCCAGAAAGGAAGAAAGGACACACTGTCGGTGCCCCGGCCCTTGGGCATCTCCTCCCTGGCCTCCCATCAGCTCATCTCCACATGTCAAAGGGCCATGAGTCCCTTAGCAAGGCCCACCCTGGGTGGTTTTCCCACCTGGCCTCTGGATGGGGGTGGGGCGCATGGCCCGCTCAGGACACTGGCCCTGCCATCGACCCCTGGCCGCCCCTCCCCCGCCCTCTGTCTCCACGCAGTACCTACTCTCCATGGTGGTGGAGTACTTCGGCCGTGTCGGGCTGCCTGGTCACCTCTACAACAGGATCCACTTCTTCCTGGCCCTGTGAGCAATGCCTGAGGGCCCCCAGTGGTGGTTCAAGGCCCTCAAGGGGTCACATGGTCAGAGCAGGGGAAGGCAAGGAGGAAGGTCCTGGGATAACGAACGTAGCCAGGAAATACCATTTGCTGCCCAGAGACTGAGGGACCCGAGGTAGAAAGTCCCAGGGAAATGGTGACAGCCAGAACCTTGACCTGGGCCGGGCACAGCATGGGCCCAGCAGCCTTGGTGCTGAGGACGGTCCTGCCCTCTGTGGACCCGGGTGCTCCTCCAGGGTGACCTCAGCAGCCTCTCTCCACTGTCTCGCCTGAGTCCTTGTGGGGGCCGGGACCAGCTAGCCCTCTTTTCTGATGGCAGCTACATCGCCTCCGACATGGAGGAGGACAACCCCACATCCAAGCGGAGCATCTTCCAGTTCCTGCTGGGCAGGGAGCACTGGCCAGACCTCTACAAGGAGTTCCTCAAGCTGAAGGTGGAATTCTTCCATGCGATGGAGCACCGAGCCTGGGTCACCCCGGATTTGTGTGAGGAGGTCTGTCGGGGATGAGGGCCGGGGAGCGCACCCCCAGAGGTGGAGGGCCTGGGCCCCTCCTCCAGGAGCTCACCCTGCTGTGCTTCCCTTTCAGATCCAGGCCCAGAACCCACATCACTGGGTCTGGAGTCGGGTGCGCCAGGGCGTCCCCTAGGTTCCCAAGGAGTGGAGCAGGGGCTGCAGGTGGTCCAGGTGAGTACTGGGCCTCCTGGTGGGGACAACCCCACCCCGTGCCCTGCAGTCACCTCCAGGGCTGGTGGTCACTTGGAAGTGCCACTGCATCCCTTAACGCACTGTTAGCCTAGTAAGGGCCCTGCGAACTCCCATGGTACAGAAAGTAATTACTGTGTTTATACAAAAACTCTCCAAATGGATTCAACTATGGAATCATTTACCATGCTATACAAGGTCCCAATTTGCATATCAATTTCTTTTTTTTCTTCTTTTTTTTTTTTTAGGAAAACTCTTGGAAATGCTGATCTAAGTAGTGAATGAAAACCTCTGCAGGGTTTTGATCTGAGTTGATTTTTAAATATAAATACATGAAAAACACTGAGGTCATCCTTTCTGGAAAAGGAGCCATTACCATGGTGGCTCTTGGGAAAAAAAAACAATTAACTCCAACATGTCATCAAAGGTTTTGTGTGCTCTGCTCCCACTTGACGCAAGCTGCCCTGAGCTGGGTCCCTGTAGTATGTGTCAGGGTCTAGCCTCACGTGGACGGAAGGAGCTCCTAGGGCTCTCTAGTCTCTGAACAAATAAGCTCGCTGGATAATAAAGGAAACAAGAACACATGCAGAGCTGTGAGGAAGCCCGTGACAAACGACACATGCACAGACCGATCACCTGACTAGCATCACATGCTTTAGCATTTGTTTTCCTTGGCTTAAATTTCGTTTTTATGTGTGGATTTACTTGAAGTGGAGGGAGACCTTCTGTGAAGTGCATAAGGAACCCCCTGCTTGGGCAGACGGCTGTACTAGGACAGTCCTGTGAGCTGAGCCCTCCGCCCTTTGCCTCATTGCAGGGGCCCATTCTGACCCCAGGAGAAAGAAAAGGAGAGAGAAAAGCAGGGCAAGTGTGTTCTGAGATAAACCGAATTGGGTATGAAGTTTCATCCATCCCCTAGGTTTTAATTTGAGGACCAAGAATATGTCAGGACTACATATTCCTACTGTATATATCAGGAGTCTCAAAATTCGAAAGAAAATAGTGTTTTTACTACAAGAAGGAAAAGAAAGAAAGAAAAACATCCGCGGCCCCTCTTGGATCTGGTCACGCATAAGAGCAACGAGGGTGACAGCTGATTCTCCCGGACCCCCTGTCCTACACGCACCTTGTGCTGTGGTGCCGACAGCTTCCTCGCTGGGGGGTCTGCCTTCCACTCTGATCTCACTTTCTCTCTCTGCTTGTAGCTCCCGCCCCCTCTCCCTCCCCCACCACAGGGCCTCCAGGCAGCTGTAGAGGGACAGCACTGGGCCTCCAGCTCTCCTCAGGCCCGCAGACCATGGCAGCCTGAACCTGGGGTGTCGAAACCAGCCAGTGGCACGATGGCCCCCCAGCCTTCCAGTGGGTGTCAGCTGACAAAGGCCCTGACCCCTGAGTACTCTGAAAGGGTCTAGCAGTAACATGGAGGGGGGCACCCAAGAGAGACAAGAGACCAGAGCAGGAGCCTCCACAGAGACTGAGGATGGGCAAAGGGAGAAGGGACAGAAAGTCAGGAAGAGGCCTGGACCACCAAGGAGGAGGAACCTGAGAAGAGCCCAAAGAAACAACTAGAAGGTAGTGAGGAAAAGAGGCAGAGACAGGAAGGAGAGAAACACCTGAGGAGAGAGAAGGAAGTCCGCATCTAACCTGCTGGAGAGCAGCCTTACCCAATGGAGAGATGGGAACTGTCAGCCGGAGGACTGAGGGAAGGCATGGAGAACATCAGTGGGCCGACCTAAGACTCACACACAGTGGGAACAGAAGGGGGGAATCGTATGCTATCGTTCACTCTGACATTACAGAAATAACCCAACCTTCACACTCAGAGAAGGGAGAGAGCAGGGGAGGGGCTCATGAATGCTGCCTGGGGGAGAGGTGGGGAGGTGCCAGGGTGCTATCAAAGCTGGAAACAAGACAGTGGAAGTCGGGTAAGGAAAAGAGGGATTCAAGGAATCCTACGAAGGCATTAGCGTTAAATGCAGTCACAAAAACATGAGCCATCCTAACTGCCGAAGTCATGAATACAGCAAATTTTGAGAGCAGAGAAAACAGACCAAAGATACACAGTAAATATAAGAAGTGCGGTATAAATACAGAAATATAAAAACTAGACACACCTTATTATTAGTAAATCTGAACTCAACACTAAAAGAAAAAGATCTTCAGATTGAATCACAAAGCAAAACCCAGCTGTGTGGTTTGTAAGAGCTTGTCCTTAAATCATCAGAGGTGCGAGGGCTATACCAACAGACATGCTCAACTGAGAGTAGGAATTGGGATTTTTACACCAGGGGAAGGAAAATTAAGGCTCAAAACCCTTCAGAGAGACCAAGAAGGTCTTTGGGGTCGGGGTGGGGGGCCCCGGGGGCACCTGTCCAGCATTAAAGGCCATCCCAGGGCCTGGGCTGGTCCACTGCAGCTTGATTTGCTCAGGGATGTTCAGGTTTACAGCTCTCTATACGTATAGCCCCCTTTAGGTAGGAAGTTTTATTACTGGGCAGCTGCTACACAGTATTACTGGGTAATCACTGCAATTGCCAGACAGAAACTATCTAGCTCTTCGTCTCTTTTTTTTCCCCTGGAAATGTCTAATTTTGCCAAGAAATTTCTGGTAAGGTTCCCAGGAACCTCACAGTCAAGTCTTGTAAAAAGCCGACTCCTTTCAGGAAGCAATACAGTTGTTCAACGCTCTCTATCCCATGAAGGTTTAGCATTTTCCTCGAGTCCTCAAAACCTCCATCAGCAAACGACCACGGTACTTTTCAGTCTGTGACACCCAGTCTGTGCTGCCCCAGAAGGCCAAGGTGGAAGCAGCTGGGCTAAGGGTTGGTTCTCTCCTCAAGGTGGCCGCTGAGGGGCAAACGCAGAACCAACAGGACTGGGCAATGGGCCACACTATGTCTCCATCCACACACCTGTGACTCCGTCCCAGGAAGCCTGACACAAATGGGGCCAACCCCAAGGCGTTCCAGTTACTCAGCTAAAAGGTCGCCCATTCTTCCTCTAGTCAGAGAGTCCCCTCAGTATGTTAGGGGAAACCCAAGGCCACTCTGGGGGTCACTGCTGCTGCAGCACTGAGGCTGGTGCCATTCGGGGGAGCTGGTGCAAGGATTACAGAACTGCAGAGACAGTTGGGGCTTTCAGAGAACAGCTGAGTGTCTGATAATGGAAAAGGCAAGTGAACAGTACTGGGAGCTCAGGGGAGACAACCAAGGGCCTGGAAACTCCATAAGCAAAGCCCAGGGGAGAACAAGCGGTGGGGACTCGGGATGGGCTGTGTTCACATCTGGGTCATTACATCCCACACAGCATCACAGCGTCTGCTCAGGAACTCAAGCAGAAAGGGTGTTGATAAAGGGAAGCAGATGGAGGGGTTTTTGGAGCAGAGGATGAAGAAGCCCCAACAAACCTCCAGAAACTCCAGGGCGGGGCCCCCGGGCAGAGCTGGTATTAACGCCCTGCTGCCAGGTATGCACCATCTGCCCTCGTGTCCGCCTATAACGGCTTCGCCTCCTCTCCCACCTCCCGGCCTTGCCTGGGCATCTCTCGCTGGCACCTCCCAACGGCACACTCTTACCTGGTCCCATATGGGAAACACAGGTGGAGGCTAAGGAGAGAGGAGGAGGTGGTGAAGATGCCGAGTTGACATCCAGGCCCCTCACAGGGCACAGGGGATGACCTACAGGTGAACCAGTGCGACAGAGGGGGTGTGGAGGGAGGTGACCAGACAGCACCTGTGCCCTCCTCTGGGGACCCGCAGAGATTTCATCGCCTGAGGGCTGGAGCTCCTCTCATCTAGATCTTACCGGGCAGGAGACTGCAGCCAGGGATGCTAATTACAGTGGATTTGCTAAGGATTCTTCCCTCAACTCCAGAGTTATACACATTTGCCCAAAATATCTTCTTAATCTCTGAAATGGCACAGTAAGCAGAATTAAAATATTCTTGATAAGTGAAAGATATGCACACAAATAAACACAAATGAAAGAAAAACAAGTGGCACCAACTAGCTTCCAACCACCGTCCCTGTGATGAGTCCCCCAGTAAGGTGACTCCACAGATCAGCACCTGGCATGTCTGGGCTCTGAAAGCACACGGTCCACAGTGTCCCAAGGCCCTGCACCTGCGCATAAGACTCAGGATGGCGCCACTGACTACAGAGGCAAGGCGAGACACTTCACACCTGAGTACTGGAGTAAAAGCAGCGGAAATTAAGAACATGTGCTTATTTACAGATTTTCATTGCTTTTATTGAGCTTAGTATGAAATTAATTCTTTTCCTAAATTTCCTACTTCATGTTTTAATGTACCATGGAAGAAATACTTTCAGCTAAAAGAGAAAATTTTTAATTAAGATAGTTGTTGTAATGACCAAGAAAGCAACACAGGCTAATTCAATTAATCTAATTCCAAGAAATTACACAAAGGCCTTTGTTTTTCCAAAGATGCACAGAGAAAGGAAGAGTCGGTGTGTCTGCTTTTTAAAGGTGTTCATAAACTCTGCCTGGTGCAACGTCCTTGTAACTTACATTTAACCGGCCTCTTCCTGAGGGTCTACTGGACCAGGAAGAAAGGCAGTAATGGACCAGGTTCTCGGGTAGAAACAGCGTGGTCTGGGCGCCCAGGCTGGTCTGGGCTGCGATGGGGAGCGGTGCGGACTTGGGCCAGCCACCCCTCCCTGAGCCTCCGGGTCCCAGCTGTAGAACGAGGGGCAGGACGAGATGCCACCTGAGGGAGCTTCTGGTGCAGCTGCCTGATAGATGGGTTCCCCTCGTCTGGGGCCTGAAAGTCCTGCCCTCTGAGCAGCCCCCACTTTCCATCCTAGCCTCACTTTCACTCAAGAACATAAGATGGAGCAAAGCAAGAGGATGGAGAACAGGCAAGTCTTCCTTATCCACAGGCAAAATCAAGGATGTGGTTTTAGGGGCTCTTCTTTTATCGAAAAAGACTTTTCGGAAGCTTGTGACTGTAATGAGAAGCAACCAGTGTATTTTGGAGTAGGGGGAACCTGGCCTTGGAAGCAGGAAAAGTCACCTGGGAAGCTTCGGAACCAGCGTGGGTATCTGCCGGTATCTGCCGGGCGCAGTAAGTGCTGACAGAGGCCTCCACGTGGAGGGGGTGCTTTTCCGACCTCACCTCTGCTTCCTTCCACTGCTGGTTAAAAATTGCAGACACAGGGGTACAGAGGTGACCAAATCCTGTCCCCTCCCCTATTGCTTAACTGGAGAGATCTTCATACAGTGAGGCATTTTTCCCCAAGATTTGGTCAGTATGAGGATGGGGAACCCAGAAGAGAGGCCCCCAACCCTGTATGAAGGAGGCGACAAAGTCTTCCTGCTTTGGTCTCAGATTGGTCCACGGCCTTCAGTTTCACCCAGTTCCCAACATCCTCTCCCGGCCTGGCCTACTCCGGTCGCTCAGACTGGGCTTTGGCATGTGCTTCCCTTGGAATTGTCACAAGTCCATTCCTCTGACAACTCCTGCCTCGGCTCCCACAGGCTCTGGCTTCCAGTCCAATGCTGGCTCCCATGCTCGGGCCTGTCTACAGCCCAGCAGGCTCACCGGCCTCCCACCAAGCGTGTTTGCACACTGACCACCAGGCTGAGAGATGAGAGCCCCCCTCCTTCCTGCCTCCTGTAGGATGTCAGGAGATCCCCTAAGCTGGGACATGCCCCTCTCCATATGCTGTGAAGTCAGCTGGTTTCTAGACAAAGGGTGAGAAAGCGGCCTTATTCAAGTAAGATTACGCAGCACCAAGGAGAAGTTCTGTGAGGCTTACACCAATGGTGTCCTGCGGCTAAGGCCTGGTGTCTATGCCTCAGAGCTTCCCACAAGTTCGTGCCTTCACTCCTTTGGAAGACACTCGAGCGAGGAGCACAGATGTCAGCATCCGTCGGGGAAACAGTAATAACCTGAGTGTGTGTGTGACTGTATACTGTTTCTTTAATCATGTCCATCTATGGAGGCAATGACATGCACTCCATCTGTGTAAGCAGAGAAGATGGATGGACAAGTAAGGAATCATACTGTGACAGACATTACCAGTACTCACCAGTGTCTAGTTCTCCCCTTTGTGAAAGAACACGTACAAGGTGGAGCCATTTATTTCACGCCAACAGGCTGTAGCCAGAAGTGACATAGGCCACTTCTGGGCCAAAACACTCAACGCTGGATGCGTTTCCCCAGCTCTTTCCTGCCATGGCTGTGAGGAGGCTAAAACATTCCGGATGGTGAGAGCCATACTCCCAAGATTTTTTGAGAGCCCACAAAGAGCTGGCAGTGACTTCTGCGATGATCCTAACGTGTTTGCTCGGGAGCAGACTGTCCAGAACATCATCTGTGCTCCTCGGGAGGCCCCAAATATAAAGACAATGCTGTTTCCAGACCATCTGCAATCTTCCATCCTGCTCTCTCCCTTAGAAAGCCTGATTTTTGCTTTTGTTGACAGCATTCCAATGACTGTTCTCCTTCGTACACGAGAGTTCATACGTGTGCAAATAACTCAAGTCATTCTCCAATCAGAGAAAAGCTTAGAAGTTATAAACAATGGAGAGTGCAGACAGCAACAGCTGCCCAGTGCTGAGTTCTCTATACCCTGATTCAAATGGAATTTCCATAACCTACCATTTTAATTTTTTTCTTTTCTTTTTAATTAGAAGAAAAAACTCTTTAAGTGTGAAGGAAGCACAGTTCACCCTCCCTATCAGCCACCTTGCCTATGCTTCACACACAGGGGCAAGTCCCGGGGCGGGCACACAGGTGGAACAGTGAAGGTCTGAAGAGAACCACTGATGCACGCCTTCCGGACGCAAGCCCCCTCTGCAGGAGCAAACACCACATGGGTTTTTGTCAAACTCTCAATGGAAACATTTCTATTTGCTTTCATTTTTACTTTTAAAGCTAAACCCCACAATTCAGGGTGTGGAAACGTGAAATCACTGGATGGACCTTGCAGCTTCGACCAGTTTACAGTCCCACCGGCCATTTAGGAGGCAGAGGGCACATCAGTATCTGGACAGCAGGGAGCCGCCTTCTTCCTGGACTGGAAACCTGAAGCTGCAGACACCTTTATACAAATCCCCTTCCTCAGCATCTGGTCCAGAAACTTGATACAGACATATGTTCTCTAAATCCTGGGTGAAAATGAACTTTTTTTAAAAGTAAATTTATTTATTTCATTTCATTTATTTTATTTTTGGCTGTGTTGGGTCTTCATTGCTGTGAGCGGGCTTTTCTCTACTTGCGGCGAGCATGGGCTACTCTTCGTCGTGGTGCACGGGCTTCTCGTTGCCGTGGCTTCTCTTGTTGTGGAGCACGGGCTCTAGGCGCACGGGCTTCAGTAGTTGTGGCACACGGGCTCAGTAGTTGTAGTTCGCGGGCTCTAGAGTGCAGGCTCAGTAGTTGTGGCACACAGGCTTAGTCGCTCTGCGGCATGTGGGATCTTCCTGGACCAGGGCTCAAACCCGTGTCCCCTGCATTGGCAGGCGGATTCTTAACCACTACGCCACCAGGGAAACCCCTGCACTTTTATTTTAAAATATAATTTCTGAAGACCTCTCTGTAGTGGAAATTTCTTATTTTTTCTATTTAGAGCAGGCTTCATGTTGGGTAATTCTTCATTAGGGTATAAATCTCCTCCTGTTTAAGATGATCGATCATACTATGAGGATGCCTGGCACTGTCACAGGATGTACGAACTTACTTTAGAGAAGACTATGGTGACACCTTAGGAAATGCTAAAAGCCCTTCATTGCTGCAGAAAGTAAAACTATATGACAGAGCTTCTTTAAAAACTTTGCATTTCTGAGCATAAAGTCACTTCACCTGAATCACCTGAAATCTTTTTGAAAGATTTCGAAAACTAATATCCATCTCAGCCCCCACTGCTCTACTCTCTGAAACCCCAAACTAAAGTAATCATCAAGAGTTTTGAAAACAAACCAAAAAATTTTATTTACAAAAGTAAATTTTCACTCATTTTTATGTTCTCATAATGTTAATGCCAACAGCAACAGTCTCTGGGATATTTAAAACCCTTGATTTTAAAATGCATTGAGGTTTGTGCAGCTCATTTCCCCCCCAGTTATATTATAAAACTTATAAAGGTTTCTTTAGCTTTGTTGTTTGGGCACGCTTTTGTGCAGAAGTCACTTTTCAGGGTAGGCTTACCACCAGACATGATCACATAAGCATTGGCTGTGGATTTCCAAGAAGCAAAGGAGCCAATCTCAGCAAAGCTCGCACTGGCATCTTCAGCTGTTTAAATTTGAAGAGAAGTTCTGCGAAACTTGTGTTCCCTAAAGAAATGCAATTGGAGGGAAGGGGTCACGTATCTAAATAAATTCAGCGACACATCCTCTTTCAAAGAAGCTTAAGACACATAATCACATTTCAAGCTGGCGTTCTTCCATTTGAAAACAATTACTGAAAGATAATATTTAAACTATGAATTTCCCTAATGCACTATAGGGTATGATTTGATATAAAATTTTAATTTATCCATTCTGTACTTCAGAAATTGACCTGTAACCATATGTGAAACTATTAATACTGTTCAAATACATATATTACTTAAATATAATTAATAAATGTGCCCATCTATCCTCAATTACCATAATCCATGCACTTAATAATTTACCTAAAAAAAAAGACACAGGCTCAAAATGAGTAACAGAGAAGTTAATCTAAAGCCTCTTCCTCTAACAAGCAATGGTTCCCAACCTTGGTCCAACAGAGTCTGATGTAACTTATGTGGAGTACAGCCTGGGATCTGGAGCTCTGAAAGCTGCCCAGGTGATTCTGATGTGCAGCCAAGGTCAAGAACCACTGCTCTAAGGGGACGCAGTAAGTGTATGACCTGCAAATTCTATTAAGCATCATCTTCCTCTTTGCCTCCATCCTCACCACACGCCACTGTCCACAGTTCCCTTTCCTCAGCCCCAACATATACACATACATGATCCCGATGAGTCTCTAAGCCACAACAAGCATCCTAGTAGACATGCAGACAGCAGAGTGTACAGGTGGGTCATATGATCCCATGAAGATGGACAGAGAAGAGTCTCATGATATGAATCGAGTGGCTTTCTGATAAAAGCATAACTAACACAAGAAAGAGTTGTAATGCTGCACAAAATATGAAGAAAGCAACTATTTCTCTTCAGTATTTCCTTTTATCGACTCTGCCAGTAATCTGTGAATTAAATGTGTTTAATAAACCTCAACAGGAATTAAGAGAGATTTCCTATTTAATTGTTATCCACAGTGTTCCCAAGACCTTGCTAAAACTCAAAGACAGAGAACAAATACATATGAGCTATGGAAAATATCTCCAATGTTCTGATACACTGTGGACTCTAACAGACCATTTAGACTTTTTTTTTTTTTTTGGCCACAACACACGGCATGAGGGATCTTAGTTCCCTGACCAAGGACTGAACCCTCACCCCCTGCAGTGGAAGCACAGAGTCCTAACCACTGGACCACCAGGGAAGTCCCCAGACCATTTAGACTTAATGTGACTATCACTATGGTTAGGTTTAAATGTATCATCTTGCCATTTGTTTTCTATTTTCTCTGTCTGTTCTCTGGTTCCCCCTTTTCCTCTCTCTTGGACTGAGTACTTTTTATGATTCCACTATAGCTCCTTTATTGCTTATTGGCTCTAACTCTGTTTTCTTATCTTAGTGGTTGCTTTATGATTTATAGTATCATCTCTATCACAGATTACCTTCAAGTAAGATTATACCTCTTCACAGGTAGTATAAGGGCCTTATGGCTGTAATTCCATTTCTCCCTGCCCAGCCTCTGAGCTATTATTGTCATACATTTTGCTTTTCAGATTTTATAAACCCCATAGTACATTTTTATTATTGTTATAAGTCAATTATCTTTAAAACGTATTTTTAAAAGAAACAAACCTTATGTATATCTCCATGTAGTTACCATCTCCAATGCTCTTCATTCCTTTGTGTAGATCCATATTTCAATCTGACACTATTTTCCTTCTGCCTCAAGGACTTACTGTAACATTTCCAGTAGTGTGGGTCTGCTGTTGATGAATTGTCCCAGCTTTTGTGTGTCTGAAAAAGGCTTTATTTCATGGTCTTTTTTTTTTTGAAAGATATTTTTGCTGGGTATAAAATTCTAACTAGATAGTGGTTTTCCTTTGAGTCCTTTACAGATGTTACTCCACTAATTTATCACTTGCATTGTTTCCTATGAAAAATATGCTATCACTCTTATTTTTTTCTCTGTAACATGTCTTTTTCCTCTGGCTGCTTTGAAGACTTTTTATCATTAGTTTTAGGCAATTTGGTTATTATGTGCCTTGGTGCGACTTTCTTCATGTTTCTCAGGCTTGGGATTCATTGAACTTCTTGCAACTGTGGACCTCAGTTTTCATTAAACTTGTAAATTTTCCACCCATTATTTCTTCGAGTATTTTTTTCTGTCCCTCTCCCCCATTTTTCTCTTCTTCAGGGACTCCAATCTCATGTAAATTGGGTCCTTTAAGTCCCAGAGCTTACTCCATTTTTAATGCTCTGTTGCTTTTTTTTTTTTTAATTTTTTTCTTTTTGCATTTCATTTTGGATAGTTTCTAATGCTATGTCTTCAAACTCAGTATTTTTTTTTATTCTGCAATGTCTAATCTGCTATTAATCCCATTCAGTGTGTTTTTCTCAGAATTATAGTTTTCACCTCTTAAAGTTCAGTTAGATTCTTTTTATATTTCCATATCTCTTAATGTTCTGAAATATGGAATAATGTTATATGGAATTGAGTTATAATAACTGTCTTAATGTCCTTGTCTGCTAACATCCATGTCAATTCCAGGTCAGTTGTAATTGATTTCTCACCTCCTTCATTATAGGCTGTATTTTCCTGTTTCTTTGTATGCCAGACATCATGAATTTTACCATAGGTGCTGGATATTTTCGTATTTCTGTATTCTTGAGCTTTCAGGATATAGTTATATTACTTGAAAAGCAGTTTGATCCTTTTGTGTCATGCCTTTAAGATTTTTAAAGTGGGCTAAAATATTTTAGTCTAAGGCTAAATATTTCTGTTTAATCTGTTTAGTCTAGGGCTAAATATTTCCCATCATGGAGGCAAGACCACACTGAGTACAGCCCCTCAAATTGTGAAATTGTGGGAACAGACACTGTTCCTGAACCTGTTCAAACTGGTTCTCTCTAATCCATTAGGACAGTTCTTCCCTCAGACTTGGGAAACTTCTTCACATGCATGTGCTGATTAGTAAGGACTCTTCTGATATTTGAGGGGGACCCTCTGCAGACATCTGGCGTTCTCTGTGTGCAGCTCTCTCCTCTCTGGCACTCTATCATGTAAATTCTAGCTCCTTTGGCTCCCTGTACTCTCAGCTCCATCACCTCAACTGAAGGAGTCTTCCAGGCTCTTCCTGGGTTCCCTCTCCCTCCTTCACAGTCTGGAAACTCTCAAGGCTGTTAGCTTTTTAGGGCCAATCACAGGGCTTATGTCATTTGTTTCTCATCTCTCAGGGATCACTCTTCTTCATTACCTGATATACGTCTCAAAAGCCATTGTTTCATATGCAGCGTCCAGTTTTCTTTGTTGTTTTTTCAGCTTGTTTATTTTGTGTTGTTTTGTTTTCTTTTTTCAGGCAGGATAGTAAATCAGATCTCTGTTACTCCATCCTGGATGAAAAAGGAAGTCTATGCTTTCAATTTTTTTCTTCTTTTATTTTTAGTACCTTGACTTTTATGCAACTAGGTGTGGTTTTCTTTGTATTTATCTTGCTCAGGGGTCACTGTAGGTTGATGTTCATCATCCATTTTTCAAAATTCTTAGCCTCTGTCTCTTTAAATACGGCTTCTATCTCATGTTCTCTCTCCTCAGATTCTGGGATCTCAACTACATGCATGTTCGACTTGTTCACTGTGTTCCAAATCTCTTTTCTGAATTTTCCATTCATTTTTCTCTCTGTGCTTCAATCTGTTTATTTTCTACACACTTGTCTTGCAGTTCATTTATCTGCTGTGTCTAATATGTTAATTAATCTACACACTGAATTCTTTTTTCTTTTTTTTCCTCTTTTTTTTTTGCTGCACCCACACAGCTTACAGGATCTTAGTTTCCCGACCAGGAGTCAAACCTGGGCCCTGGGCAGTGAAAGCATGGAATCCTAAGAACTGAACTGCCAGGGAATTTCCTATATACTGATTTCTTAATTTTAGTTATATTTTTCAGTTTTAGAATTTCCAATTAACTCTCACTGATTCCAGATTTCTGGTGAAATTCTGTATCTTTTCCTCTATTTTCTTGGAAATATTAGTCAGTTATTAGTCATAGTAACTCCAGATACTGGAGTTATGGAAGTCTGATAACTCCAATATCTGGATCACATACAAGTCTCTTTCTTTTACCTTTTACTCCTATTATGTCTTTTAATTGTGATTCAACACTGATACTATGATTTAAAAACTGTAGAAGTTTAAGACATTTTCTTCTTCCTATACAGGTTAATTTTTCTTCTAACAGGGAGGTAGCATGCAGCAGATCTCCTCAATTCTGCTCTAGGCTAATTTTAGGTCTGCTGTGTTTCAGTGTTACCTTTCCTGCTAGGGCTTGGCCCTGCTACTGTTTCATGTGAATGTCTGGGATTGGCAGGCCTTGAGTACTGCCCTTTGTCTCCTTGGCACTATGCTGTTGTTGGAATCATTGCCCACATTTTTAGCCTCCTGGTTTCTGCTAGATTTCTTGAAGTTTTATCCTGCGCATGTGCAGGTTAAGATTTGGCAAATGCCTCAAGGGAAGAGTGTGTCCAGGTTTTTGAGTTATTATTCCTCTTGTCCCCTCCTATCTGGGACTTTGCTCCTCAAGTTCTAGCCCTGGGCAATCATTAATCCAACCTCTGGCTCCTCTGCCCAGTAGCACTGCTGCTTTTTGCTGGGACTCTACTTCTTGTAATGAATTGACAAATGCCTCTGGGAGAAAGTCAGAGTAAATATGGAGCTCCTCAAATGAGTCCCTTCTCTCAGGAATTCTTGTCTCTCAATCAAGTCTGGTCACTATGGTTGCCGCCAATTCCTTTAAACTTTATGTAGTTTGTCCACTTTTATATTTGCTTTTGTAGGAGAGTCAGTCTAATGCGAGCAATTCCACTGTGGCCATAACTGCAATAGAAGTCTCTGAATAGTGCATTTTCATCTGAGGTTTTCAAAGCAGCTATAAATCAGTAATATCATTAAACTTTTAAGTTTAAATGATTAAATGGACAAATTTTGTATCTGATTACATATTCTGAAAAATACAGTTAGATGCTAAGATTTTAAACTCTCTATTATGAAAACAATCAAATGTCAATACATACAAAATTAGGTACCTGATCATTTCAAAGCTTTATAATATTAGAAATTAATATTATGTGTTTTAAAAAAATCCAAACTGAAAACCCAAAAAATACAGAAAAATAACTTTAATAAAAATCAATTAACGGAGAAAAAGAATACGAACATTTAGTTTATTAGTATATACTGGTATCTGGGGCCCTGTGAAGAATCCATCTTCTTCTGAACGTAAATAAAGGTTTATGCATGTGTAAAATTCGGATAGTTTGGGGTTTGTTTTTTTTTTCTTCCAGAAAAAATTCTGAAAAATAATACCCAAACATGAATGAAGCCAAAAACCTAACTGGAGAAAATAACTCAGTTTAGAAACACCTCCTAACAAGAAACTAAACCCATCAGCGGGTAATACAGGTACTGAAAAGAGGATGTAGATGTGCAATTACCTTCTAGTCCTATAGACGGCAGGTGCCGTGGGGCTGGCACTGAGTGGTAGACGAGGAAACAGGCCAGCATTTTCAGCTGCGACTCCTCGCAGGGCTGCCCGTTGAGGTAGGCGTGCACACACCCATCACCCCCAGCTGTGAGAGAAGCACACATGGAACAGAACCAATCGATTACAGAGCTGAGAGGCACAAGGAACGCCTTCTTTTTATTATTTTCTCATCAAGAGCTCATTGAGCACTTACCATATACCACACAGGTCCTGTACTGGGCATTAAGGCTACTGTGGTAAACCAGACAGAGTGCCCGTCACTGCGGAGTTTAGAGTGCTGCGGGGGACGGAGATACTACATACCTAACGATGCAAACAAATGCTAATCATAAATTGTGATAAGTGCCATGAGAGTGCAGTGGTCACCATGGTCGTCTCCCCAAACACCCATTCTACCACCCTTCCCTCCACTGTCACATCTGAGGGGACTGACTGCAGCTCCAGGACTGGATCCTGATTTATCTTGGCCAGAGGTTCTCAAACTTTAACAGGCATCAGAATCACCTAGAGGACTGATTAAAACACAGATGGGTGGGTCCCCACAATTTCTTGGATGGGGCCAGAAAAACTGTATTTCTAACAGGTCCCCAAGTGATCCCACTGTTGCTGCTCCAGAGACCACACTGTGAGAACCACTGGTCTGGGACAATCAGGGCAACCCCACTTCCCTGACACAGTGACTGGTTCAAGGACAGGCAGACCTAAGCCATTCAGAGAGACACTCTACCCCGGGGATTGATCGAGGAATGTGGACGAGTTCCAGTGCAAGCCAGAGACACAAGGAGATGCTTGAGAACATGTTTGCTAGAGGCTTCTGGGAAACAAACCCCTCATTCTTATGGCAAAGCTCCTGGAAGCAACTCTATTCTTCCTCTAAGTTGGAGGCAAGGAACTGTTACAGTCAGTTCATTGCCATCAGAAAGAAGTACTCTGAGGATAAAGTCATGGCACAGAGTGTCACTGATGGAACCTCAGAGAAATGGAGCTGGAGCCACTGGAGCGACAGCCTGCCGTAACTGTGGACTTCCAATTATATAAGTTTATAGGTGTCCTACTGTTGGAGCCAGGCTGAGTCAGGCCTTCTATTACTTGCAGACAAAGGCATTTTGATACAGAGAAAAAGGTTGAGAGAGAGAAAGAGAGATATAAAGATGGCAGGAAAGCTGCCTGAGGCAGTGTGGTCTTGGAAGGCCTGTGTGGAAGGGGCATGTAAGTGGAGGCTGCAAGAATGAGTATGAGTTGGGCAGGCAAAGAATGAGAGGAAAAAGGTTCTCGGGAGGGAAAGCAGCACATTCAACAGTTCCGTGGTGAGAAAGAACTCCATGCTTTCAGGGAACTGGAAGGGACCAGGGTGCCTGAGTGGAGTTTGTGAGGAGCAGGTGGTATAGAAAGAGGCTGTAGAGGGAGACAGAGGCCTTGCTGGTCATGCGGGGCCTGCTGGCCACATGCTACAGATTTTTTTCACAACTGAATCAGCAGCCTTTGCGAGGTTTTAAGCAGAAGTGTTGAATCTGTTTACTCTTTGAAAGACCATTGTCAGTTGACTAGAGACAGTGAGAGGGAGATGAGAATGAAAAACAGGAAGACTTGCAGGAGGCTGCAACAGTCGTCCAGGCAAGAAATAATCACGGTTTGTTCTCGGATAGAAGCAGCAAAATGTGGACAGAGTTAGGAGATATTTAAGAGTTAGGACTGAAAGGATGTGGTAATGGATTGGCTACCGCAGAAGACAGGAGAGGGAGGGAGAGGAAGGGGCAAGGGTGACTCCCAGAAAGGTAACGAAGGAATGACCGTGAAACTAAGTGATGAAACTAAGAAAGAATGGTCGGAGGGTTTTTTTTTTTAAAAAAAAGAATTGGGAAAGTGTGCCGTCACAAAGGTCAAGGGAGGTCTGTTTCCATAAGAATGAGAGGGAGCGA